ATCTCAATATATTCAAATGGTCTCATGAAGCCATTCTTCTATTAATAGAAGAGTATAGAAGTCGAGTAGATGACTTTACTTCTGGTCGAGTTTCACAAAAAAAAATTTGGGAGGCAATTAGTCTAGTATTAAGAAATAAAGGTTATGATGTCACAAGTCCTCAATGTATGTCCAAATTTAACGGTTTGAAAAAGACTTACAAGTCGGTAAAAGACCACAACAGCAAATCTGGAAATGGAACAAAAAGCTGGCCTTATTATGACTTAATTGACGGATTAATTGGAGCTAAACCATTTATAAGTCCTGTGGCTACAGTTTCATCAACAGGAAAGCGACATGTATCAGAAAGCTCCATCGATTCCAGTGATGATCCAGATGGTCCCCCAAAAAAATCGCCTAAATTTTCCAATAAGGATATTTTGCTGGAGATGCAGAAATCAAGAAATACAGCAGAACAGAACCGAGAAAGACGTCACAAAGAAAAAATAGAACAAAAGCAAAAATGTTTAGATCTTTTTGAAAAACTGATAGAAATGTTACAACAAGAAAAGTGAGTACTATTACTGATTTGACCAAAGATATAAAAAAATTTAATAGAATATAAAAATAAAATATAAAATATTGATGGTATTTTTATACGTACAAATAGACTGTTTACTTAATAGTTGTTGTTCCATCATATAATTTATTTTGTAATAAATTATATGATTGTAATAAATTATGTGATTGGTTTTTTGTATGTGATAATGTTAAGATTCTACTAAAGATAACATTGTGTTAATATTTCGTTGTTTTAATACATAGTTTATTTTTTATAAAGTGTATCAATCAATATTTATTTATTGGTATGCCTTGAAACAAAATACACATTTAAAACACTGTTTAAAGAATATGTAAGAGATTGAGACTGATAATATAAGTGTTATCTTTGAATATAAGTTTAATATAAGTGTTATCTTTGAATATGAGTTAATGGTTCTTATAATATAATTATTTTTGTTTGTAATAAGTTTCTTGTTTCTAAAAGTTATTTAAGTATTTAATATTTTTATTTACTCAACCAGAAGTAAAGTCATCTGCTCGACTACATTGTGAATATTTTTTTAATTCATATATAAGATAAATAAATTTGTTTTAAGTAAAGTGTTTATTGAAAGCTGTTACTTGTGAAAGAAATAAAGAATACAAACATATGTTGAATTGAGTTTGAAATTTATTGTCCTCTTTTTTATATAAAACACAAATAATGTTATATAATTCGCATTGGTAATTGTTCACAAATATAATCTCTTTTTATTACACCACGTCGATTTGCTGCTGCGAGTTCAGCACGAGTAGGATTTCGTTGTACCTCGGAATCTGTTTCAATTACAATGTCATAATCAATATGTAAGAAATCATCACCTCTTATAATACATATATTATGTAAAATGCAACAAGCTAATATAAAATCAGGTATGAGATCTATTCGCTCCATATCAAGTAACGTTAGCAGACTTCGAAATCTTTTTTTTAGTAGTCCGAATGATCTTTCTATTGTTACTCGAGCTGATGCAAGGCAGAAATTAAAATTCTTCTGTCTGTTAGATAAATGGCCATTATCACGATATGGAATAAGAAGACGTTCATGAATAGTATAAGCTCCATCGCCAATTAAATGTGAATCATGTGGAAATTTTGTCGGATCGTCGAGATAATCGTAAACTTCTGAGAGCCGAAATACTCTGCTGTCATGAACTGAACCAACGTTTCCTATATAACAATGAGTAAAACGACATTGGTGGTCGCACACTGCCTAAAAACAAAAATTACAAATGAAAAGAACTGTTATTAAATATATTTTAGCATAAACAAAGTAGTAACAACAGAAAAAAACTGAAGAAGCATATTATACATTTACTCATGTAATTAATAATAAAATACCTGTAAGTGAATTGAATAGCGGCCTTTACGATTTACGTAACATTTTGGATCCAGATGTGGAGCACGAATGTTGATATGTGTTCCATCTATTACTCCAATAATATTAGGAAAACCACTTGTTTGCAAAAATCCATTTGATATTTCAATTGCTTTTTCTTCATTAGGCCATTTAATAAAAACTGGAGCAAAATTAATTAAAGCCTTCACAACTCTCCTCACAGATTTCAAAGCAGTGGCACGTCCAACATTAAATTTTTCACAAATCGACCTACAAATACAATTTTATTACAATAATGTATGATGTATGTCAAATGTTATGTTATAACTATTATATTAAATATACAACCTGTATGAATCAGGCGTTGACATTTTCCAAATAGCTATTAAAAGTTGCTTTTCGGGCGATATTGTTTGACATCCAGGCTTTTTTCTTGTTAGTGTGTTCTTTAAAAGCTCAAAGATATAGTTAAATGTCGAACGCTGCATTCTACAATTATACACTTATGATCAGAAATCTGTCAAAGCTATTTCATATATTCTGTCATCTATATTTTATTTGCTGTGTCCCATATTCACTGTCAGTATTCAAAATCGATTTTCATGTTTGTATGCTATAGATTTGCAGTTGACAGTGAATTCAACAATACAGCCATTGTTTAAAATACCATTCTTTAACTAGTATGTAGCTCGAATACACTTATCAATTACACAAAAATCACATAAATCATGCATTTCACGTATTACACATATAGAAGTAAAGAACTTACCGAAAATGAGATTTAAACTGCGCATTGTTATATTGTGGTAAAATAACCTCTACATAGTTTAAAAGTCGTGGAACTAATTCTTTTTTTTCTTGCATATATAGTAAATTTATTACTTCCACGTCATCCTCACTTTCTTCAGACGAAGACGATGAGAATATCATATCACACAATTCCTGTACCGAAACTGTTAATAATTGCACCGCCATATTTAGCTTTCGCTTCGTTTAAATGGGGCGTTCGTCTTGATGCTAACGTTTTTGCGCTACAGTCAAGACGAACGACCGAAAGCGCTGCATGTAAGCAATAGTGCTATAAGCGAAAAAGCGTGCAAGACGAACGCACCCAGTATGAGATTAAGTTGTTTAGGCTGGGGTGCTGTTTGAACTCAACGAACGCGCATTTTTTCCTGCGAAGTTCCGCTGTGCAAGATTCATCCCACCAAGGGGTAGGAGGTTTGCGGGATGGACTAGCAGAGGTTATAACTTTTGCTTCGGAGCTAATGAGCGCCTAAGTAACTAGTTCAATTACTTGGTTATAGGTCGTGTTAATGTCTTGGTTAAAGGTGATACTTCTGGACTCTATCTCTATTTGTTTTATTGATTTAATGCAATGTAACTAAAATTCTTTCCAGTCCACGTGCTTGATGTGAACAAAGGGACGGCAAGGGATGTTGCCCGAGAATTTGTGAAAAATACGGACGTATATNGGGTAGTGGTCACTGCCGTNGTGGAAATCATCGACCCGCCATTGACAGTGCGGAACTAGATCTAAAGAAGCTATAGTGAGGTCTATAGCAGATTGACATGAGAGATCCGAGGATGACCACGTTCTCTTCCTGTCTTGAGAATGCTCCATGAGGAATTAACTATGGCGTCCTCAAGTTTCCGTCCCTCATGGTTACCTCGGGTGGGAGAGCTATTCCAGAGAGAGTTCCAACCATTGAAATCTCCGCAGATGAGGGCAGGTTTGTACTTTGAGCACAACTGAAAAAGTGAAGACCAGAAGTTGTTGTCTGTGTAGTTAGCTGACTTTCTTGGTGGGCTATATATTGAGAAGATATACAGAGGTTGGTTATTAGGAAGAAACAGCTTCGTAGCAACAAACTCAACCGAATTCTTAAGGCATAAGTCGGTTATATCATCGTCAGTTAATATGCAAAACTTGATATGTTTTGCAATAACAAGGGCTACACCTCCACCATGTCGATTACGGTCTACGGAGATGATTTCGTGATTGGGAAAAGTAAGCATGGAAGTAGAATCTATAAATGTCTCGCAGAGGGCGGCCACATGAATGTGGCTCTCTTGCAAGAAATGTTTGAAAGAGTCTAATTTACGAATTAATGAGCGGCAGTTCCATTGCACCACATCGAATTTTTTATGTAAGTTTGAGTGTTGAGAAGGGCAAGAGAGCCAAGTGACATTAGATAAGAGGTAATCTAATTATTATAATACAACATTTTCTACAATGATTTTTATAATTATTGTGATGAGTTTATCTAAGTTATCATCGTCCAAATTCGTTTTGAATTTGTTATGTAAAATGTTGCGAGCCTTGGGGAGAAGATCTCTGATATTTGTAGAGGAGAGATACTCATGCTGATGCTGGACAGAGTTACTTTGCAAACTTGTGATATTCCGGGTTTTTTGTATTGTTGTTGTAGTTGGTTTAGTTTTGTTACCAGAGGTAACCGAACGTGAGGGTTGGTTAACGGTTGCGCCATTCACGCTGTACGGAGGACTTACGGCGCCAGTCTGATTATCCTTAAATGAGGAAGAACCAGCCGCTTCTTATTCTGAAAGTACAAAAGGTTTGGTGTGGTCACGGTCTTTAACCTTGTTAGACTGCCGAAGAGTGGCAGAGAACCTAAAGAAGTTCTGAGGAAAGAACTCGCCGAGTGTGGGGAGCGGAACCTCAGGGAAAACACTCTGCCAGGCCTCCCCCTGATCGTGAACAACCGCGGCATCTTTAAAGGAGAGATCCTTTACCGCCATGATTTTATGGATACTCTTCTGTTGTAGGAAAGCAGGACACTTAGGATCAGACGCTTGATGTTTGAAATCTTTGAACTTAGATCTAATGCAATTGATGCATTTGGAAACGTCGCTCAAGCACTCCGACTTGGAGTAGTCAGATTTACCGCAACAGTAGCTTTTGCCGTTGGAAGACTGTTTGCAAGCTGAGGCCACATGCCCGAGCCTCTGACAGTAGCTACACCGTTTAACCTTATATATGTAGGGATGTGTGTGTGTGTGTGTAAGAACACCCTCTTGCTCATATAGATGCACGAGGACGGGACATACCTGGTTCGAAAACGTAGCAGATAGCTGTTGGTGTTAACAAGGGTGGGGGAAGAGTTATCTCCGTTATACACCCTGCACTGCAGTCTGACCGCCTCAAAAGGAGGGGTCCAAGAACCGCCCCACCCTGGAGGCGGACGGACATTTGAGAAGACCTCGTCCACCGTATCGTCGTCATCTACACCGCGAAGAATACACTGCTTAACAATCCGGAAGCTCGGAACGAAGGAGAACCATTCGCCCGTAGGGGTGATCTTGTCACCGATGGTTGGAAAGACCTCAACAAACTTGTTAGCGGCGTCATCTGTAGGAAAAATCACAGAGAACTTATTCCTTCCTTTGGACCTTAGATCGAAAGCTTCCTGGAACACGTCATAGACAAGAACATTGAGTCTTTTTCCAATGCCCAGTACACTGATGGCATTGGAAGGAGAAACACCAGGACTAACACTGGCATTTGTAGAGAGTAATTCAATATGAACAAGGAAAGGACCCGTCGAGTCCCTTTCATACTTGTTCAAAAGCAACGTAGTCGTGAACTCGTATACAAAGTAAAGACTCGTTTACGAGGGGGTTCACTAGTGCTCACCGGGCGTTTTTTACTTTTTTTAACGTTAGAGTCCAAGTTCCGCGGGGAAAACTCTACACCGGAAAATTCTTTGATCTCCCGAGGATCGTCGCATCCGGGTACACTCATAGCAGCTTGCCCCGGGAGTTGTTCCTCCGGCGGAGGGACTGAATCCTCCGGGGCAATGTCCATGTCAAAATTTGTACTCATTAGGTCAGAAACAATAAAATGTAGCGTATTACACAGCTAACAGACTTAAGATGGCGGCTACACGCCCGAACTGCCTCGCAAACAGGTTAGGACGGCGGCAGTGTACTACCAAGACAGAACGTAAGAAGAAACAAAATGGAAAAAGCTCACCCGATTAACGTGAGAGCCAAAGCGCAGCTACTCAGCTAAGCAAAGCACAGCGTAACACTCGCAGGAAGCACAGGAAGCACAGGAATACCGGGAGGGATCACTACAGAAGCGACTCACTCGCGATCTTAGCGCAGACCATCAATATCTGCTATAAACTCATTCATTAAAAAAATTCATTATATTATCCATGTTTCCAATAACTTTAACCTCACTTATTGGGTGTGTTCTGCCGAAGTTAGCGCTACGTAGCGCTACGAACACACTCAAACACAAATAAAAAGCAGTTAAAGAGTTCTTGGAAAAGTTAAATAACAATGCTGCTGAAATGAACCTTCTATTGACTGTTGACAAATCTAAAATTTCACTTTTATTTGTAACATTACCAAAATTATAAACTAAATTTTATGTCCAAAATGACGCGCCTAATTAAGGGTTAACCACAAAGATTATTCTGATATTTACAAATTTGAATTGAAAGGAAATATGTATAAAAATAACGAGATTTATCCTCTAACTTTTTTTTTAACTTAATAAAAAACAACAAAACTTAAAATATTACAGAAATTATACAATAAATTTTATGCCTAAAATAACACGTTTAAGGTTAATTGTTTGCTTACCATTTTTAATTTGGTTGTGTATTTCTTCTGTATCTGTTCTTTATCTATTCTTCTTATCTCTACAATAATACCGTTCCAATTATAATACTGTTACGTCCTGGCCCATGGATACGGTCGGGCTATAGTGGTACGCAACAGCTGAACGTTTTATTTCAGATGCTCGACACAGAAGATGCGGAAATCTATCTGTGTGCGAGTCGAGCGAGTTGTTTATACTCACGGACGGGTCAACGGCGCGTGCCGATATTACGCCGTCCTTTGTATTCTCGTTCGGTGGTTTCTTTTTAAAGTTTGGAGCGGTGGCTCCAAAGACTAGGGACGAGACCGTGCGATCGCTGGGACGGGAAAATATACGAGATCAAGCCTTAATTAATAAATCAGTTATTACACAATTTATTTCTCTTTTTTTTTATGCTAAAATATTTGTTTTATTTATCATTTACAAGTACAATATTTGTCGAACTAGTTTTTTTTTACATGAGGTACTGAGGTGTCGAATGTAACGCGAGCTTTATAATAGGCGGCGGGTCATCACTCGGAGGCCGGCCGGGACGTTATGTGTGCGTGGATGTGTATGTGAGTATTTAGGGCCCCCGGTGGAAGTTACACGTGTAATGCTGTCATGGTGTGTGTGTGTGTGTGTGTGTGTGTATATAGCCGATCCGTGGCTTGAATTTATTTTAGAAAAGTTTGTAACGGTTCTGCTTTTTCGCGAGAAAATATCCCGTTGTTTTGTGTCTTTTAAATTGTGCGGAGTAGCTCGTCGGATTCCAGGAACAGGTAAAGAGTGAGTGAACTCGGTGATTAAAAAAATAACGAAT